TCCCTTCCTCTCTGAAATCAATAAAATACACTAACAATAGAGAAACATGTAAATTAACCATCATTCCACTACACCCACCAGCCAAATCAGGAGGGAATATGCATATTAGAAGGAGAAAGATGACAGCCACCCAGCTGCTCAAGGTGTGGAGTGGCTAGATGGGCAGGACACCTGCTATGGGGGGACGAAGGGGGGATGCGAAGGCATCTATAGAAGTGGCACTCTGGCCACAGCGGAGAGGAAGACTGCAGACTCTGGCCAGAGTCTGCACTGAAGACGAAGATGGCAGATTCCAGCTGGAGTCTGCAGCAAAGACAAAGATGGCAGTCTGCAGCAAAGATGGCAGACTCTGGCTAGAGTATGCAGCGAAGATGAAGGTGGTAGATTCTGGCGGGAGCCTTTAGCAAAGTTATAGAAGGCAGACCCTTTTTTGTTAAAGTATTTTTTTTAAATATATTTTATTGATTTTTCACAGAGAGGAAGAGAGAGGGATAGAGAGTTAGAAACATCAATGAGAGAGAATCATCGATCAGCTGCCTCTTGCACACCCACTACTGGGGATGTGCCTGCAGCCAAGGTACATGCCCTTGACCGGAATTGAACCTGGACCTTTCAGTCCGCAGGCCGACGCTTTATCCACTGAGCCAAACCGGTTTTGGCAAGAAGGCAGACTCTTTCCGGAGTCTGCCACAAGGGAGGCAGACTCCCACCAGAGTGAAAGCCTGGGTCCCAGGTGCCAGAGGAAAACCAGTGCTGGGAGCCAAGGGAAGGAAGGCCTATTGCATGAATCTCTATGTGCAACCGGCCTCTAGTATATCTATATTTAAAAACTTACTCTAAACACGGACCTTAAATCCTTCACAAAAATTAACTCAAAATGAATCACAGACTTCAATGTAGAATGCAAAACTATAAAACTCTTAGAAGTTAACGCAAAGAAAAAACTAGATAACTTTGGGTATGTCAATTACTTTTTTGACACAACACCAAAAGTATGATCCATTAAATAAATGATGGATAATCTGGACTTCATTAAAATTTAAAACTTCTGATCTATTATAGACAATGTCATTAGAATAAGACAAGTTACAGAACTGGAGAAAATATTTGCAAATAGCATCTTATCTAATAAAGAGGGAATATGCTAATTGACCATCACACCCTCACAAAGATGGCAGTGCCCATAGCCAATAAGGAGGGATTATGCTAGTTGACTGCCACACCCTCAAAGATGGCAGTGCCCACAGCCATAAGATGGTGGTGTCCAGCCATTAGGGCTATAGGTGTACGGCACAGCCAGGCCCACCCCAGGTGGGTCTGGCCGCTCCATGTGCCTGCCTCTGAAATCCCCCAGTTCCCTTGGCCCCCAGCCACCCAAGACTGGCTTGAGGCACAGGCAAACTTCAGATGGTGGCTGTCCAGCAGACGCCTGAGGTGCAGGCAAGCCTTGGATGGTGGCTGCCCAGCTGCTCAGGACTGCCAAGACTCAGGTAACTAGGGCAGGCTGAGACTTGCACTGCTGGCAGTGGCAGCAGCAGAGGTGTGATCTTCTCCTGATCGCCAGTTGCCTCCCAGACTGTGAGAGGAGACAGGCCAGGCTGAGGGAACCCCCTCCAGTGCATGAATTTTCACGCACTGGGATGCTAGTTTTGAATAATTGACAATTATCCAAAACATGCAAAAATACACAAACACCCTCCTAAAACTCAGCAATAAGAAAACCCAATTTTAAGGACCTTAACAGACACTTCACTAAAGAAGATTAAAAGATGGCAAATAAACATCTGATAAGATGCTCTACATCATATGTCATCGGGGGAATGCAAATTCAAATAATGAGATACAACTACTACACTCCTATCAGAATGGACAAAATCTAGAACACTGGCTACATCAAATGTGAAGTAAGAGGAACTCTCATTCATTGCTGGTGGGAATACAAAATGCACAGTCACTTTGGAGAAGTTTGGCATGTTTTAACTAAAACGAACACACTTTTACCATAAAATCCAGCAGTTGTGTTCCTTGGTATTTACCCAAAGGAGTTGAAAACTTATGTCCACAAAAAATCTGCATCCAGATGTTTACTGAAGCTTTATTCATATTGCCAAAGCTTGGAAGCAACCAAAATATTGTTCAGCAGGTGAATGGATAAATTAAAGTACATCAAGAAAATGGAATATTATTCAACAATAAAAATAAATGAGCTGTCAAGCTATGAAAAGACATAGAAGAAAATAAAATTACTACTAACAGAAAGAAAACAATCTGAAAAGGCTCTATACTGTATAATTCCAACTATATGCCATTTTAGAAAATGCACAACTATGGAGATTAATAAAAACAAAATTTGTTGCCAGGATTTGGGGTTGGGAAGGAATTAATAGGGGAAGAACAGAGGATTTTTAGGGTAAGGAAAATACTTTGTATGATACTATAGTGGTGCACACATGTTGTTATACACGGATACATATAGATACATATACACACATATAAGTAATATATATATATATGTATATATATATGTATATATGTGTGTGTGTGTGTGTGTAAGAATTTGTCCAAACTGGAAACCAAGATGGTGGCATAGGTAAGCACCTAAACTGCTGCCTTGCACAACAATTTCAAAACTACAACTAAAAAACAGAACAGACAGCATCCAGAACCACAGGAAAGCTGGCTGAGTGGAAATTCTACAACTAGAGGGAAAGAGAAAAGCTCATGGGGAATCAGAGGAGTTGCAAAGGGCTGAGGTACGTAGACACGTGCACAGAGAGGAAGGGCAGCTGAGTGCCTTGCTGGCTTTCTCTGGTGGAAGGGGGAAGAAAGCCCCTGACTGCACTGAACCCCAGTTCCAGGTGAAACCCCATGGACTCAGGCTCATGCGGGGAAGTCTGAACAGTCAGGTAGAGAGAGAGGCACACAGAGACTTGGAGGCACATGTGTGCGCGTGAATGCAGAGAAGACTGACTGTGGAGGTTCCTGCTGGCTTTCCCTAGTGGAAGGGAGTCTGAAGCTCCTGACTTCACTGAACCCAGTTCTGATTGCACTGAACCCCAGTTCTGGGCAAACCCCAGGGGACCCACACTTTTAAGGGGGGAATCTGGACTGTCAGGCAGAAACTCAGGGGAGCCGCGGAAGGCAGAGGTCTGGAGGCGGGTGTGCAAGGGCAGGGATAATGGGAAGCCAAGACTGTATGTTCAGCCCTGAGACTCTGCCCCATCCAAGCTGAGCACAGAGGCTTTTGCAATTTTGCAAGTCTGATCCTATAAGGCTGTCTCCAGCACAGAAGGTCTCCCGGAGTAGACACAGCTGATACAGCCAATTGGCCTGGAGGTCAATTCCTCCCAGTGATACTAACAACAATCAAGACTTAACTACAAAAAGGCTGTACACACAGACCACAAAGGAGTGTGCCAAGAGAATCCACTTCAGGTAATTGGGGAGGCCGAGCCACTGGGCCATAGGAAACCTAGCACACAAAGCTACCCAACCAACTTAGGGAAGCAGCCAGAATGCGGAGACAAAGAAACATCACAAATGAAAGAAATGGAGGAAAACAAACGTCTGGATATAGAATTCAAAACCACAGTTATAAGGTTTTTCAAGAATTTCCTAGAAAAGGCTGATAAATTTAGTGAGACCCTCGAAGATATGAAAAAGGACCAACTAGAAATTATACACACACTGACTGAAATAAAAAATATACATAGACCCAACAGCAAACTAGAGGATTGCAAGAATCAAGTCAAAGATTTGAAATACAAAGAAGCAAAAAACACTCAACCGGAAAGCAAAAGGAAAAAAGTCCAAAAAATTGAAGATAGTGTAAGAAACCTCCGGGACAACTTCACGCATACCAACATCAGAATAATGGGGTGCCAGAAGAATAAAGAGAGCAAGATACTGAAAACCTATTTGAAGAAATAATGACTGAAAATTTCCCCCACCTGGTGAAAGAAATAGACTTTCATAAACATTTTTATGTTTTTAAAAACTGTTGTCTGCATAGAAAATGCCTAGATAGTATACAATAAGATAATAACAGCAGTTATTTCTCAATAGTAGGATTACAGAGAAAATTTTTTCATGTTTGTAGTTTTCTGAATTTTGCAACTTATTTTAACCTAGACATGTACTAGTTTGAAAATAAGAAAACTATACACATAGCTACTCCTATTTAAAAGAAAACATTTTTAAGTTGGTAGAAGGATTGATTAAATTATATAAACAAATAACCAAATATGGCAAAATAAGAGAGAGATTTCCATTTTGAAAAAGAAAGTCAATGGGAAGTGCTTATATGTGAGCACAGCATCTACAGTTTAAGAAAAATGCACCTCAAGCCGTTAGAAAGAAGCGCCTGTTTGGATGTTGGACCTGTAAAAGATCAGTACTTTAAATTATTTTTAATGTTGAATTATAATGTTGAATTCTAAAAATGATTTCATTTTTGTTCAGTAGTTTTTTGGCTTTTCAGATGATATATTCACTTAAATTTTCCATTATAACTTTATTAGTCTTATTTTTAAATTAAATGCATTAATCTGTAATTAATTTTTTGTGCAAGGGATGAGTTTTTATTCTCTTTTTTCTGCTCCTGTATTTGTATTTCTGAATGTAAAAAGCTAAAATTGGGTGTGTAACTAAATGCAGAGAAGAAGGAAACCAGGAAAGCAGCAATTCTGAGTAGGTTCAGAAGTGATTGTGTGTTTCCTATCTTTTACAGCTCTATATACAACAGCCCTGCCAAATGATACACAGATAGGCATTTTTGGGTAGATCTAGGTTTTTTTCAACCCTTCAGTTTCTTGGCAGAGGTGTAGAAACAAGGCAATTCTCTCAAGATTATTCGGCATAATCCTATTTAAACTGAATTTATAACTTTGGGCCTGTCAGTGTTAAAGGGGAAAAGGTCCTAGTGAAGCTCAAGGGTTTATTTCTACTTGAGTATATTGTATTGGGTTTTAATTTAAAAAAAAAATAATTTTCCTTTTTAGATCGGAGACATATACTTTTCCTCCTGCTTCGTCTAAGCACCAACCCAGTCCTTCAAAGCATCCTGTGGGCACTCAGACGGATTTTCGTGATTCTGAAGCTCAAACAGATCCGTATTCTCCAGAATATGTAGTATGTCAGGATTCAATCCCTGAGCTCTTGACCCTGGCTACTCTGACTTGGGGTGAGTTGGCAATTCTCTGGCATATTTGAAGATGACAGTCCTGATAATCATGCTGGCTATTAAGTTCCTGGAAATTCAGAGCACATAGAAGCAACTGTGGTTTAAAGTGTCTTGCTCAGTAGAGCTATTTTATAGACTCATTCCTTTTCTAATACTTTAAAAAAAATTAATTCTCACCCGAGGATATGTTTGTTTGTTTGTTTGTTTGTTTTAGGGAGGAGCAGGAGAGAGATAGAAACATTGATGTGAGAAACATTAATGAGTTTCTTCCCATATGCGCTGCCCTGACTGAGAATTGAACCTGCAACCTTTTGGTGTATAGGACAATGCTCCAACCCATCAAACCACCCAGCAAAGACTTTTGTGTGGTAGTACTTTTGTTCAAAGAGAGCTATACCCTTTTCACTGTAAGCAGGTTTACTGTATTTTATCCTTGAAGCTGATGTTTTATATCAGCTGAATTTATTCCCCAATCAATGCTCTTTTTTTTTTTTTTTTAATTAACCTGTTAACCGGGGAGTTCCCTTTTTAATTACGCAACGTACAATGGGCGCATACTCTTTCACTAGGATGTGTCAGTACGTCACTCTCAGTAGACGTAATTTTATATTATTTTTTTTATTTATACTTAATTAAAATCAATGAAATATATATTTTTTGTTTATTTATATATAAAACACAAAGGAAAATACAAAATTACAAACAAATAGAAAAGAATACCTACAAAAAATGGAAACATCGAATTAAAGAATTATAAATTTTATAAACAATTATAAAGATTACAAAAAATATATTTTTTATTTCTATACACAATAAAAATATAAAAAAGTTAACAATTACAGAACAATAAACAAAAGCACACAAATAAAATAGAAATATTGAGTTTAAAAAATTGAAATATAGATGTAAAAATTCAAAACTCAACTTCCGTGTGATATATTTTAAAACAATTGTTGATACATAGTGCTACCTTACAATCCGGACACCAGTATGTAGATTCTTTCCTAACACCTTTTTTGTAGCAAACTCAGCATTTCCTGGATTTAGTTTTTCCTATATCGCTTTTCATTTGTTCTGGAAAATGCCTTTCAACTAAGCGTGATGGTTTAGATGTAGAGCTGCTTGTTGATGTCTTTGGGTGGGTTTTCACTATGTTGTTATCTACCAATTTCTCTACACACCATATCAAAAAGTGTAATCGATCCAAATGACTTTTATCTTTTTTGTATATAATATATGCGTTGAAGCAGCACATATCAATTAATCGTAGAAAAAATTTTTAATAAATTTTTTTTACCCTATTACGGGCAGCCATGTAGGCCATCATAACTCCATCTCCCAAATCTACCCGCCCATATTCTTGTTATAATCCAGGACAACATTCGGTTTTTCTTGCCTTCTTCCTCTCTTTTCAATCATTGTCTTTTCGTCATTATGAATAGAACTGAGCATCAATACGTCTTTTTTATCCTTCCATTTTAAAACCATAAGTTTATCTTTGAATCTTACTATATGTTCATTTTTCTGTAATTTTTTTGTTTTTATTTCACTGGGGATTCTGACTCTGTTTATCCTCATTGTTCCAACAATGTCTGTATTGTTTTGACACAAGAGTTCAGCCAAATGAATTGACGTATAGAAATTATCTAAGTAAATCCTATACCCTTTATTCAGTAAGTCATGTGTTAACTTCAAAACAATTTTTGTTGATTGTTTTTCTTGTGGGTAGTTCGAACCTTAATTTGTGTCCTTGCCTGTGTATAAAATTATATTTTGTATGTATCCAGATTGGCTTTCACTCAAAATAAACAACTTCATTCCAAATCTAGCTCTTTTTGTAGATATATATTGTTTCCAAGATAAATTCCCTTTCCATAATAAAAGAGATTCATCTACGCATATTTCTCGTTCACATACATAAAAACTTTAAAAATTTTCTTACAAGTTATTGATGATTGGATCAATTTTATGTTTTTTATTATATAAAGTTTGGAGATATAAAAAATATAAGTAAATAACATAATAAGAAAATAGGTAGGTAAGTGTAAGTACGTACCCGTCACTGCTCACCCAGAACACGTCCACCACTCTCGATAGCGAAATTATACTGATTCCCTCCGTGTCTTAAATTCATGTGGAGACATGTATGGATGACTAATACCTTTGTTGTTCAGAAATATACGTCCCACCTGTTTCAGGGCGCAACATATATTTCAAGGACGTATTCATACGTCCTACCCGTACCCGATATTGTTTACGTTTGACGTATTTATACATCCCGCTTGGTTAACAGGCTAAAAGTATTGGGGTAACATTGGTTAATAACATTATATAATTTTCAGGTGTACAAGATTATAATTCTACCTCTGTGTCTAATTACAGAAGTCTAGTTTCTTTCCTTTACCATTTATTTAACCTCGCTTTGCCCTTTCACCTTTCACCTCCTTTCTCCTCTGGTAACTACAATCTGTAAGGTCTTTTTTTGTGTGTGTTTTTTTGTTTTGTTAGTTTGTTAGTTACTGTTTGTTTTATGTTCCACATATGAAAAGGGAACCACTGTATACTGTTATTGGGATATAAGTTAGTACAGAAAAATAATATGGAAGTTCCTAAAAAAAATTTAAGAATAAAAATACCATGTGATCCAGTAATTCTTCTTTTAGGTTTTACCTGAAAAATATGAAAACAATTATCTGTAAATATATATGTACCACTATGTTCACTGCAACATTATTTACAAAAGCCAAGACAAACTAAACATCTACCCATTGGTGGATGCAGATTGTATAAAGATATATTATATATGTACAATGGAATATACTCAGCCATAAAAAGATTGAAAATAAAGAGGTGAAGAATATACAGATAGATAACTCAAAGTAAGTTCATTTAGCAATGTTAATATTAGACCAAAGTTAATCAGAAAACATTAAAAGGAACAATGAAGTACATGTAATAGTTATAAAAGGATCTATCTTTCATGAACTTGTAGGTAACCTATGTGGACTCAAAATGTAAAGTAAAAATTGGTTGAATCATGAGAAGATATAGACAATTTCCTACTCATGGATTTTAATGCACCTCTTTCAGATTAAGCTATCAAAAATTAGTAAGGATTAGACAATTTGGGTAGGCAAAGATGATTAATGTGCTTCACATAAGAGTTTGTGTGTGATAGGCCATAGCCAGACTGATGTATATTAAGAAACGGAATGTGGAAGACGTGGCTGTAGCATTGCAGGTAGTTAATGGTTCTAGTCTCCTTTGACTCAGCAAATCTCTCACTATATTAAAGTCATTTGATTTATGAAAAAGATGCTACTGTGATTCAGTGGGGGAAAGGAGTTCTTTTCAAATAAATGGTGGTGAAATAATTACATATTTATGTGCAAAAATTGAACTATAATTCTGATTCCTACCTCAATGCAGTCTCTGTAAAAAAACCAACAGGGTGTGTGTGTGTGTGTGTGTGTGTCTGTGTGTGTAAATTGATAATCTGATTCTAAAATTAACATGGAAATCGGAAAGGGTCAAAAGTAGACAAGGCAAATGTGAGAAAACAGAACAAATATGTACTACCAGATATAAAAACTTTCTATAAACCTTCAGTAACTAAAAACTGTGGCATAGTTGCAAAGATAGACAAATATATCATTGTTAAACAATAGAGTCCAGAAATTAACTCACAGATAAATGTCATCTGACTTAAGACAAAAATGAAATGCTAACAGTAAAGGGGGAAATGATAAATTTGATTACATTAGAACTGAGAACTTCTATTCACCCAAAAGCCCCCACATTTAAGATAGTAAAAAGGCAAGCCACATATGGGAGAAGATATTTGTAAGTGCTTTATATTTTTAATTTATTTAATCTTCACAAGTTAAGTGAAACATAATTTAAATCAGAAATTAATACTATAGATCTAAAAAAAGACAAAAGAAGTGGTCATAAGGACCATAAAATAATATTTTGGATAAATATTAATAATTTAGCCAAACTTCTTGTGGGAAGTAGCAAGACAAAAGACAGAGGTACAAATAAAGGGTATTAGGATCAGCAAGGGACATAACCACAGAGTAAATGACTTAAGAATGGTAAGAAAATACTATGCGTATCTTTTGCCCTATATTTTAAAAATAGATAAATTATACAGTTTTTAAAGAAAATATAAATTACTAAGCTGGTTTCAAGAAGAAATAGCAAACATGAATAGAATAACTATAGAAAATGACTTGGTAAAAAATTAAGAACACTAGGCCTAAATAGTTTTACAGATAAGTTTGCTTCTTCTTTAAGGAATAATTAAGCTCTATTTTTATGCAAATTTTTTAACAAAGAGAAAAGAAAAAGAGGATAAAGTTAATTTGTTCATTTTATGAAGCAAGTATAGCCTTAATTTGAAAACTGAATGAGGATAACACTAAAATGGAAAACTACAGACTGTCTCACATATGAAGAAAATGCAAAAAATTCTAAATAAAATACCATCAATCAAATCTTGCAGCATTTTAAAAGATGACTTACCATAAACAAGTTGGTTAATCACACAAATTCTAATACATATCAGAAAACCAATGCAATTTATCATTTTAACAGAAAATGTTGGGAAAACACTTCTGTTAAAATAACATTCAACACTCATTTATGATACAAACTGTAAATAAACTGGGATAAAAAAAAAAAGTAATATAATAAAAGGTGTCTACCATAGTCTTCAATAAATTTAACCCTAATGGTGAAACTTTGGAAGCTTTACCTTAATGTGAAGGAAAGACAATGCTACTTGGTAATGCAGAGAACATCCTAGCCCAGAGCTTATTGAGCTAGGCTATGACCCTTGCCCCCACGGCCATTTGGAAATATGGTAGCATTTTGTATGTGATAATGATTAAAAAGTGCTCCTGGTATTTAGCACATGGGATGCAGTTGGGTGGGAGGTTGTAATAATACTAAACATCCTGTCCTGTAGGGGCAGTCCCTTCCAACAAATGATTATCCAGTGTGATAGCAATAGTACCCTGGCTGAAAAATACTGAGTCAGTGCAGTTAAAGAAAAGAAAATAAGTGAGATATGAGTATTACAAAGAAGCAAAACTATCGTTATCTGCAGATGATGTGCTCATTTTTAAAAAAATCAAATGAAATAACCAATTTTTAGATCTAAGAATTTGAGGTCAACAAGACAGTATAAAATCAATATACAAAGCTCAGTAGTCTTCCTATGTGTTAACAATAGCTAATTAGAAATATTGAAAAAAATAATATTTTTAATATCAACAAATAACAAAACACCTAGGAAAATCACTTAATAAATACCAGTTGCAGCCAAAGCCAGTTTGGCTCAGTGGATAGAGCATCATCCCTTGGACTGAAGGGTCCCAGGTTTGATTCTAGTCAAGGGCACATGTCCAGGTTGCAAGCTCAATCTCCAGTAGGGGGCGTGCAGGAGGCAGCCAATTAATAATTCTCGCCATTGAAGTTTCTCTCTCTCTCTCTCTCTCTCTCTTTTCCTTCCTCCCTGAAATCAATGAAATTTTATTTTTTAAAAATACAAATACTTAAAAAAATAAAAACAAAAACAGGTACAAAGCATTTATGGAGAAAAATATAAATTGCGACTTTCTGTACATTACTTTGATATTTCTTAGTATTTCAAAAAAATAGATTTGTCTAATCCAGGGCATATCAAGATGTGATTGTTTAGCAGTCACATAATATTTTTCAAATATTTTCCGGCATCTTATGTGCACCTAAAATTTCTTCTGGCTGAATCACTAACAAGAAGCAGTGCAGGGCACAGCTGGGAGGTACATCTAGAAGGTGTTCCCAAATATTACCTCCCAACATAACCTTAAATATAGAGAGGAAAGGAGCTGAACATGAGTAAATTAAATACTGGTAGGCATGTGAGCTTGTCCATGTGTTTCTAAAGTGTCGTTGCTCCACCCCCAGGTCGTGGTCTCCCGGCAGGTCAGGCTGAGGTGGAGATGATAGAACGAGCCCGGGAGAAGCGTGCCTGGGAAGCCACACTGCCGTCTCTGACTGACACCGCCCAGTATGAGAAGAGGAGGAGGATGATGAATGCGATGGAGAGGAAGGAGTGGGCCTTCCGAGAGCAGGAGATTGAAAAGTAGGTTCTTGGTCCCCCAGACGACAGCTCTTGTGCTGATGGGAGTAATGTTAATACTTTTTACTTATAAAGCATTTCCCCAAATGTATCAGGTTTAAAAGTAATCCTCAACCTATATAGACAGGAAACTGGGTTTCTGGTCCTTCCAGGAACAATAGCTCTACGATTTTCTCTCCGTTGATATAAAAACGTATAGTGTCCCCTGTGTGTGCAATGCAACATGGAGCCAGCTCGGAGCAATTCCTCAAGGCACCTCTGCTCCTCCTCTTCCCCTTTCTCTTCAGTCTCTAATCTAGACTGTCAGACAACCCCACTGATTTTTGCATAATGTCTTTCAAACTGTCTCTTTCAGTTCATTCCCATGCCACCCCTCTAGGTCTTGGCCCTCCTCATATCCACCAAACAGCCTCCTAGTGGATCCTGTTTCTTATCCCCCTAGTACCGGATTCACAGTCAGAACACCATGGGTTCCAGTGAGAGGTAATGGGGCATTTTCTATGTAAAAGCCAAATTGTGACATTCTTCAATTAAGAGATGAGCTCACAGCACATAAGTGACAATATGCTGAGTTAATATGGTTAAGTTTTCAATCATTTTAACTGATGTATTTTCAGTAATGAGGTTGTCCCTAGAATATGTAGAAATAACAACTCCTTAGAAAGAAAGGAAAAAAGGGCACCTACACCAAGATTGTTCTTTTTTCAGGCTGTAATGGGGTACTTTATTACTTGTAGTAATGCTACCAAGCCCCTGACAGCATGCTCACATATAAGAGAGTTAGGGACCAAGAAATTCTGAAACTCAGTGTGGTTCTGAATTCAAAATATGTTTATCTTTTTGCACCTTCTGATTCACCCTGAAGCAGGACAATGAGATGTTTTGTTAAACACTTGCACTTTAGCCAAAACCGGTTTGGCTCAGTGGATAGAGCGTCGGTCTGCAGACTGAAAGGTCCCAGGTTCAATTCCGGTCAAAGGCGTGTACATTGGTTGCGGACACATCCCAGGTGGGGGGTGTGTAGGAGGCAGCTGGTCGGTGTTTCTCTCTCATCTATGTTTCTAGCTCTTTATCCCTCTCTCTTCCTCTCTGTAAAAAAAAAAAATCAATAAAATATATTTTTTTAAAAAACTTGCACTTTAATAGAAAATATTACTTGAAGCAAAATAGGTACCCAATTCTGTATGCAGAAATGTAAATTTATTGCTGCAATTTGGAGAGCTATATTCTTTTTTAAAAAAATGTATTTTGATTGATTTCAGACAGGAAGGGAGAAGGAGAGAAAGATAGAAACACAATGATGAGAGAGAATCATTGATTGGCTGCTTCCTGTATGCCTCCTACATGGACATGTGCCCTTACTGTGAATTGAATCATGATCTTTTGGTCTATAGTTTGATGCTCAACTATTGTGCCACACTGGCCAGGCTAGAGAGCTATATTCTTGTCAGAAGGACATTAAAAATATTAAAAATATATCTGGCTAGAATGAAGCCATCACCTAAGAAAGAGAGTACTTTTGTTATTATTTTAATAAGCATGTTTTGCACCCCTCGTGTGTGCCAGGCTCTGTGCTGTGAGCTGTTATCCCCAGACCATCACACTTTTGCTAAGATGGTTTTTTTTTTTTTTTTAAACATGTGATATGATACCAGTCTAAAGAGGAGCCCCTGTCGATTATCAGGTGCTCCCTTTCCAGTAGAACACCTGTTTGCGTAAACGTCTTTGTTTTGCTATGTGCTTGAAGACTGCAGGAGATTCGCCTGGAAGTTCTAAAAGAGCTGCTGAGGAAGCGTCTCAAGAAAAACAATGAAATGGCTATGAAGCACCTGAATACCCAATGGTCTAACCTGCAGGAGGCAAAGGAGGCAAAACTGGCAAAAATTCGCCGTGCACATGTGTCAGGTGACGGTGTAGTCTGAACAGTGAAGAGAATGGAAATGGGGGCTTTGCTTTGGATCTCTGACCAAACCTGATTTAACTATGACACAGTTCTGGTTTGTCCGAGTGTTATTAAATAAGTAACGGATGGGAGATGAGTTAATTCTCAAAAGTAGAAGAGTGGAGGAAAATTCCTTACTAAGAAAATCAAGTAATGATGTTCTGACAGGTAGTTAAGCTAGTGTGTGTGTGTGTGTGTGTGTGTGTGTGTGTGTGTGTAGGTGTTTCCTGGACAGAGTCCTGTTTCTCAATCTTTTATTCATCATCATTTCCTAAAACAGACATTCAGACATCTTTTTTCTTATTTACCCCTTCTCATGAAGTTTTAATAAGCAGGTATACTGTATATCTGTTTATATACTACAAGTATACCTGTATTTTATACACAAAAAGAGGAGTCAGTGGAAGACTGAGAATGACTAAATAAAACTTTTAAAGAAAACTTTAAATTAATTACCATGGTACTTAACTTTATAACTATATTAAGTAAGCTATATTAACTAATTGATTTACTTATAAAAACTGTAATTATCAATTACATATCCCAATTAGGAATTTCTATACATAATAGCAATATAATCACATTTTAAAAAAATCATTCAAAATTGTCATTTTCTAGCAAAAGTAAAGCAATTACAAAAATTAATTCTTTAAAAATTATTTTTAGTGAGTTTAACTTTTAACTTTTTCTTGATGTGAGAAAATAGCTTTTAACTTAACCTAGCTGCATTTAGATATTGTCAATGTACTTTTTTTCAGAATTTGACATATTCTAATTTATTCTGGGGTTAACCAAGATGGACAGAGATTATTGAAAAATCTATAGTCTTCTCTCCCTTTTAATTATTTTCCTAGGACAGAATAATTAATTACCTTAGTCTCCATTGAACATGTCTTTTTCGGTTACTTTGAATTTCTTTCATTTATTTAACAAATGTTTATTTCTTTTTCTTTTTAAAAAAATATATTTTATTGATTTTTTGCAGAGAGGAAGAGAGAGGGATAGAGAATTAGAAACATCAAAGAGAGAGAATCATTGATCAGCTGCCTCTTTTTTTAAAAATAAATTTTTATTCATATTATTACAAATGTTCCCTTTTTTCCCCCCACCATTGCTCTCCTCCACCAGGTTCCCACCTGACCCTCTGCTCTTTCCCCACTCCCCACTGTCCTCATCCCTAGGTGCACAGTTTATGTTCAGTCTCTTCCCACATCCCCCCTCCCCTTTGCCCCAAGAATCGTCAGTTCACTCCCCTTCCATACCTCTGATTCTATTATATTCAACAGTTCATATTGTTCATCAGATTTTTTTTTAATTTCCTTGGTTTTTAGATTCACTTGTTGATAGTTACGTATTTGTTGTTCATAATTTTTATCTTTATTTACTTTCTCTTCTGAAAGAATCCCCTTCAGCAATTCATATAATTCTGGTTTGGTGGTGATGAACTCCTTTAGCTTTTTTTTATTAGTGAAGCTCTTTATCTGACCTTCGATTCTGAGTGATAGCTTTGCTGGATAAATTATCTTTGGCTGTATGTTCTTACTATTTCATCACCTTGAATATTTCTTGCCATTCCTGTCTGGCCTGCATGGTTTCTGTTGAGAAATCAGCTGACAATCGTATAGGTGCTCCTTTATAGGTAACTACCTTCTTTGCTCTTGCTGCTTTTAGTATTCTCTCTTTGTCTTTTGCTCTTGGAATTTTAATTATGATTTGTCTTGGTGTGTCCTCTTTGGATTCCTTTTGTTTGGAGTTCTGTGCGCTTCCTGGACTTGTAAGTCTAATTCTTTCACCAAGTGGGAGAAGTTTTCTGTCACTATTTCTTTCAGTATGTTTTCAATATCTTGCTCTCTCTCTTCTGGGACCCCCATAATTCTGATGCTGGTTCACTTGAAGTTGTCCCAGAGGTTTCTTACATTATCTTCAATTTTCTGGATTCTCTTGCCTTCTTGCTTCTGCAGAGGAGTGTCTTCTGGCTCTTTATGTTCCAAATCTTTGACTTGATTCTTGCGATCTTCCATTCTGTTTTTAGGACTCTGTATAATATTTTTTATTTCAGACAATGTATTCTTTATTTCTTGTTGATCCCTTATCATTTATTGTTGATTCCTTATTAATTCTAGTTGATCTCTTTTCATATCCTCATAGGTCTTATCGATCTTTTCTAGGAAATTCTTGAAAAACCTTATAAGCGTAGATTTGCGTAGATTTGAACTCTATATCCAGTCGCTTTTTGTCCTCCATTTCTTTTGTTTGTGATCTATTTCATTGTCGCATTTCGCAGCTACAGATGGGGCGGGATTTCAGGGTGGAGCCTACAGCCTTGGCTTCCATCAGCCCCGCCCTATGCGGCTCTTGGGTCTCAGGGTCCTTCAGTACTCCTTGCAAGTGCCTCTGAGAGAAAGGTGCCTTCGATTTTCGCCTGCTACCAAACAGTCTAGGCTCTCCCCCACTGAGCCCAGTATTGGGGTTCAGTTCAGTTGGAAGTGGAGTTGGAAGTGGCGTTCAGAGCAGTCTGGAGCCCCAGTCTCCTTCCCACCAGGGCAATTCCCCAGCCCCAGTTGCAGGAGCCAACCAAACAAAGTGTCTGTCTCACATCAGTGTTTCTCTCTCCCTCTCCCTCTCCCTCTCCCTCTCCCTCTCCCTCTCTCTCTCCCTCTCCCTCTCCCTCTCTCTCTCCCTCTCCCTCTTCCTCTTCCTCTTCATCTTCCTCTCCCCCGCTTCCACTTTCTCTAAAAATCAATGGAAAAAATATCCTTGGGTGAGGATAAACAAACAAACAAACAAACAAACAAACAAAAAGAGATTTTCTGATGAGTTCTAATTTGGACACTAACAGATTCATCTCTATTACTTCTGCCTGGGCCACAGATGACAGACTTCTGTTTTTAGTGTGACTTTCTCACTGCAGTGAGTGGCCATCATGAAATTCATTCAGTTCAGTAGCTTCCCTGAAAATAAAACTAGAACTGGCTTACTATTCTGCATTTGGATCATTCAGAACAATATTTTGGAGATAGTCATGAAGGTATGTTTTATTTTAGCAATCAGAAAACTTATGGGAAAGAGAGAGAATGTAGAAGAGAAGTTCCAGAGAAGAAATATCATCAAGGACTATTCTGATTATGCATCACAGGTCTATGGACCTCTGTCTCGCCTTGGTCGTTTTCCAGACAATGATGAGGACTTTGTAGTAAAAAATCACTTTCTCGACACCTATGAAGGTAAACAATTTACATAATTATAAGTTCAGTATAAATTAAATATATATATATATATATATATATATATATATATATATATATATACCTCCTGAGGAGGAGAGTCTTCCTATGCCTTGATATGAGCAGAACTTTAAAACTTTTATGCTAGTGATTAGGATTATCTATTGTGATTCTCAATTGGCAGCAAAATACACCACTATCAGATAAGCTAAACAAATATAAGATTGCATAATTCAATAGTGGTGGGAGGGAAAGGAATATAAATTAAATATATAAGACATAACTTAGATTAAAATCTAAACAACAAACAAAAATACTTGCATGAAAAAGTAATTAATATATTAAATATTATTAATAATATGAGTTGATACAATCTAATAAAAACTACTAAGACTCACATAAATAAACAGATACACTATACAACTGTTTGTCAAGGGGTAAAGTCAATTAACTACTAAACATTAAAACACATTGAATGTTACTAACCATCAAAGTTGTGCAAAAAGAAATAGAAAAAGGTTTTATATCAAGTTTATCAAGCAAAGAAATATATAATATAATGAAATCAGTCTTTTAAAAAGAAATGCCAGAAAATGAGTAGGCAGGGGATAAATTCATGAATAGGATTATTTCTGCTATCCCATTCAAGAGAATCCTTTATTTAAATTACTTAAATTTCAGTTGACAAGTTGAAGCATCATGTGGCCAACATCATGAGTTGATGGTCATAATATTGGATGTGTAGCTCTGGCTGATCATCTCCAGAGCAGAATATGATAAATTGGTATACACCCACTTTAGAATGATGACATGTACCATATGATCATCAATTTTTCTATTGATTATTATTGTGGAGTTTATTTTTTCAGGACAATGTTTTCGCTTTAGAATGCATTTCTCATTTTTCAGTATAAGTCACCGAGAACATGAATTTATACAGAAATTTGCTCTATACTTTGGGGGTGATTCAGTTATATGAGATACACGTTATCAATGATTCTAAATGAGGCCACTTGGCAAGCAACTGATAAAATTAACAATATGCTTTCAAAAATGCTAAATTTAAGCACAGATACTAAAAAGATGTGCTTCCTTTCCATAGGATTAGTGCAACTTGAGTCCTGTCTCCCAGATTTTGTGATTCAGCCCCGAATCAAAGCTCCAAGACCTAAAGCCACAACCACCAAAGCTGGCTTTCTGAAGAGGGCGGCGAAGCTGGAGAACGAGTTGGCAGAGGTTCATAAGGTATAAACCTCGTCTGGGAAACAAGACGCTTCTAGGGTGACTATTGCAGAAGATGCTACACTGCAAACATCGCACTTTGTCTTGGGCTGCAAAGTCCAGTAGTTCTCAACACACAGCCCTTCCTTCCTCCCCGTCTCTAGACTTCTCTCCTTGGAGGTTGTCTGTGATGTGCTGTGTGTCTTCCCCCTCATTTTAAATTACTTGTAGGAAAACCTCTAGGAGGTTATTCTTTCTATTTACAGAAGCCAAGTTACCGTCTAAAAGTGGTTCTGACTTTGAAGTTACATAAAGTTGATACTACATTAAGGTCTAGAGTGAAGAATTATGGTTTTAATAGGATAATAGGCCTCATCTTCTCCCTTTAAGATTTGTTGCCAGGGCATCATGAAGAAAGGGAGTCATGTTCAACTCCTCTCTCATCTAGTTTAAAACATAACTGAATGAGAAAGTCTGATGGTCATCCCCATCAATCAACTACTCAGCATCCATTAGCGGAGCTTTCTATTTTGTTATTGGATGATAGGTGTACAGACTTAGGTTAGAATTTGTGGTATATGATAGTGGTGCTCAACCTTTCCCATGCACCAGGACCACCTGGAGAACTTATTAAAACACGTTGCTGGGTGCCACACGCAAAGGTGCTGACTCAATGGGTCAGCGGTGAGGCTAGAAGGTTGGCATTTACAAGGTTCTGGAGATGCTGCTGCTGCAGGAACCACACGTTGAGGCCCTCTGGTTTATGATAGTCTAATCACTGGCCCATGCTTGTTTGTTCAGTTGGTCTTGGTAATAGAACCAGATAAAAATTAGGACCTTAACCATCACTTACCTATATCCATGTGCTTCTTTCTATCTCATCTTCCATTTACCCATTCTGAACTCTGTTCATTATTCTCTCACTTTTTGTAAGGTTTTTTAAAATACTCCTTATCAGGGTATGGAAGTTCCCTTCCATTCTTAATTTACTGGAACTTTAAATCATGTGTTGTGTTGAATTTTATCAAATGTTTTGTCTGCACTTATTGAATTATGAAAAATCTTTTTCTTTTAAAGTTATTTTTGCATTCAGGAAGAGTTATAGTTTCTGGGTGGTTTTTAAAAATATATACATTTTTATTGATTTCAGAGAGGAAGGGAGAGGGATAGAAATATCAATGATGAGAGAGAATCATTGATGGACTGCCATCTGCACGCTCCATAGTGGGGATCAAGCCCAAAACCCTGGCATGTACCCTGACTGGGAATTGAATCATGACTGCCTAGTTCATAGGTCAAAGTTCAACCACTAAGCCATGCCAGCCAGGTTGGGTGGGCTACTTTTAAGCTTTATTTTTACAAATAATAATTTATCCTTGCATACCTGGGGCAAAGCTACCTTGGTCAAGGTGTACTATCTTATTTTTAATATATTGTTGGATTTGACTTAAATGGATATACGTAGAATATGTGCTATGTTTATTCAGTCGCTAACTTATCCTTGGGAATATCACAGCATCCCTTGGGAGATACAAACACCTCGGTTTGGACTTGTTCAAACTGTCCTAGCAAGGCCTAGAGAAGGTTATTTCTGATTGATTTTCATATCTGTGGCCTAGGTGTGGGAGTGGGAGAAAATATGAAGGTAAAAAATGACAGTAGTTGGGGTTTTTCAGATACTGTTGGATAAGAGGAATAGAGTTCCCGAACCAAAGAAACCTCTGCTCTTCCTTCAAAGAAAGCCAATACCTCAACCTCGGCTTCCAACTCCAACCTTGGAAATGACTTCCAATGTAAGTTTGAAACTTTTCTATTTAAAATGCAAAATTTAACATTGCTGTCCATTTACAAACCTAATTTAACAGTGTTAATTTTATGTTGCCTTTATTCTTATTTTCAAACATCAAACATACAATCACAAAAACAAGTAAAATGAGATGAAATGAAATCTAAACCTAATTCTTTGAATAAATAAAACACAAAGAATATGTTTTCCCAAGAAAAGTAGGCATCAGAAGGTAATCCTTGTGTGTGTCAAATAAAACAAAAAAAGGATTGAATGATGATCAGTTACTATAATTATCTGCCCAATGGGGAGGTGGCTGATGACAGAGAAGAATGAAATGTTAGAAAGTGGCGAGGACAGGCTGAGTTCTGAGGTAGGACTCGCTCCACGGGCCATACCTCACCTTCACGGATCCCAAACTCAGTCTTAGCGCCAGGTTCCTGAGCTGGCTAAGACTGACCCAGACTAAGCAAACCCACAACCAACTGCCAGAGATGCCAAAATGCAAATGTATTACTTTATGGGGAGAAATAAAACTGCCTGGTGGATCAGGATGCTCCTCGCTGTTAGGTCAGCCCATTATCTCCCCACAGAGGGCAATTCTCACAAGAAGCCAGATTGTGTTCAGGAGGTTACACTTTGTCAGAGGGGGGACAGTGGACAGATCAACTCCCTAGCACCTCTGAGGGGCCACCTGTGGAGGGACTGGAATGCCCCCATTGTCTGGCTAGGACGTGGTCTGGACAATACTCCCATTTTAGACCTTGTGCCACCACTGCCGGTGGTTAACACACCGTCTATCACATGTTAATGCCATTGATTTTACTGCTGCTTTATTTTGCATTCAGATGCCTTAATTAGGTTTTCCCACTCTGCTCTTTCTGTTGGTGTGTTTTGTTTTGTTTTTTAAATATATTTTATTGATTTTGTACAGAGAGGAAGAGAGAGGAATAGAGAGTTAGAAACATCGATGAGAAAGAATCATCGATCAGCTGCCTCCTGCACACCCTCTAATGGGGATGTGCCCGCAACCAAGGTACATGCCCTTGACCAGAATCGAACCCGGGACCTTTCAGTCCGCAGACCAACGCTCTATCCACTGAGCCAAACCAGCTTTGGCTTGTTTTTTTTTTTTTTTATTTTTTTTTTATTTTTTTAATAAATGTATTTATTGATTTTAGTGAGAAAGGAAAGGAGAGGGATAGAGAGATAGAAACATTGATAAAAGAGAGACATCATCTGCTGCCTTCTGCACATGTCCTATCCAGGATCAAGCCTGCAACCCAGGCAAATGCCCTGACTAGGAATTGAACCAGGAACTTCTTGGTTGATGGGTAGATGCCCAACCACAGAGCAACACCAGCTGGGCTGCTCTTTCTGCTTTTGACAGTTATTAAAGGTAATTTTTTTAATAAATGGCTAATCTTGTCTACTATATTCTGATTTTACCAGTTTTGTTAAATTTTTGTGAGAAGTACCTCCCTCTAGATTCTGACCTAGATTAGCTGTATCCTTTATCTACTCATGATCACACATGAAAAAACTATTGCAAAAGGGATGCTATAAATAACACTTTCAGCTTCAAGAATGATTTTGCTGGAAAGAAGTATAGGGAAATGAAAATTGCTTAAGTTATAAGAATAGTATGATAGTGGGTTAATTTTTAAACTTTTTATATGATTTGTTAATGATATTTATGATGAAAAAATAATAATGAAGTTTAATAATAAAGTAAGTAACATTTAAAATACTATATATCCAACGAAGGTAGAGACCATTGTTAATTTCTCTGTAAATCCTTCTGACATCTAACACAGTCTCTTTTATTTGATCAAAGTCTTTAAAAAATATTTGATACTGACTGCTGTTCTCAAGCCGCTTGGTTCTCCCTTTGTTCTTTTAGGAAGAAGAAGATATAGAAAAGGCTGTTATCTTCCTTCAGAAGTTACTCCGGGGCAGAGTCATTCAGAACGTGGTGTGTAGGGTCCGACCACTGGCCATGTGCTTCTCCTCTGAAAATAGATTCACAGAAGTGCATGTGCTCGGTTCCTTGGGGTGAACTGCCTTATAGAACTACACTCTTTCTTTTTTTTCCCGTGTGTGTGTGTGTGTGTGTGTGTGTGTGTGTGTTCTTATTGTTTACACTATTACAGATGTCCTCATTCTCCTCCCCCTTTGCCCACTCCACCCAGCCCTGCCCCATCTTCCCTCTGGCCATCACCACACTGTTGTCTGTGTCTGTGGGTTATGCATATATGTTCTTTGGACCTATACTCTTGAATTACCATACTTTTTCCTTTCTACTGCCATAGACTGTCCAGTTGGGTGACAGTGTCAAGGGGGGGAATAGCCTGCCTGCTGTTTGCTACAGGTGTAGCCAAGACAGTGTGAAAGCGGTGTCCTCCTGGAATGGCTAAATCCGGCAATTTTCTTACCTGACTTTTGATCATTAAAATATTACCGACCAAGTGGATTCCCTAATTTTCCACAAAGTCATAACACAACTATTTGAGCCTACTTAGCTGGCAATACCTGAATAATAAATGAAATAACTAAATAATAACTACAGTTTGAACCCCTACTCAATGCTCACATTATACCTTTTTTTATTCTACATATATCATCTCATTTTCCCCCTATAACTTACCCTACATTACAGGCAAGTAATGTAAGTCTGAGAGAGAGTATGTTAATTTCCAGCAAATTCAACTCTGGTCTTGCTGAGTGGGAAGCCTTACGTTATTTATGCTGCCAGAGCAAACACTCAGTTTGAAAAGTGGACTGATATCAAGTCCCAGCTAAAAAGAGTTATTTCTCCACAGACAGTTATAACTCTTAAAAGACTCTATTATGAAGAGCAAGGCCAGGGAAGCCGGGTGCGCATTTTTCCTGCAGCATTATTCTTTACTCTCCTTTTGGGATTTCCCAGGAGAGTTGCCTCGGTTCAGACAGCACATGTGTATTACAAACCAGGGGCAGATCTATAGGAAAAGAAAATACAGCTATGAAATATACCACCCCCAGCTTTCTTAGGGAAGAGGGAGCACAGGAAATGAGGGCAAGTTCAAGTTTCTTAACATGACCCTTTGAAAGGCATTTTGAGAAACCGGGTCAACAGCTAACTGCTAGCTAAGCTCCCTCCTCGGCCTGAGCAGCCGCAGGTGCAGTGAGAGGGCTGGCCTCGCTCTGAGGAACACACAGGCTCTGTAGTCCCAAAAGCCGGAGCGGAACCCTCTCTTCCTAGGTCACTGCTTGGGGAGCCCTCGTGCCTGACACAAGGGATGCTAATTTGCAGGTCTCTCTGTGATCTGGTTTGATACAGATGTTTGAAGGGAAAGAAAAGCGGCTGGAGCTGATCCAGGAGCTGCGCACCACCCACGCGCTGCAGGAGGACGACCGGCTGGTGAGGAAAATGGAGAAGCAAGTGACGCTGGCCCTGCAGCGGCAGAGGAACCTGCACGAGCACAAGGTTCTCTCCCTTTTGTTCTGGTTCCATTCTTGTCACGTTTTCTCCCTTGATTTCTACTATTGTGAGAGCAACATTATAATAACAATAAGGGAACTGATGAAAAAGAAGCATTCCCCCACAATGCCGTCCCTCTAGCACAGTCAGCATTTTTAAACAACGCTGCTGAGGTCTATAATTAGAATGGGGTCTGCCCTCACTGCATTGAATATGGTCTTATGTTCCTTATTTGCAAAAAGAAGAAAAAAGAAACCTACATTTTAAAAGGTTTTCCTTTTCAATTTTTCTTAAACATTTGATGACTGTACTATATTTCAGTTAGTGGGAGCTTAGCAGAATGACTAGTAATAAAGGCAAAAAGAAAAAAAAAGAAATGAGATTTAAATATCAGCACTTATTGCGCTTTGGGGATAAGTCATGCTGGTTAAAACGCATATTAAATATGTTAATAGCTCATGGTATCCTGTGACTTTCATCATGACCTCTGCATTCTGTTGACCTAATAGCAGCTGGTAATAGCAGCTCTCACCCAACAAGCATAAATGTCTCCCTGTTCTCATCTCCGTAAGCACCATTTCTAATGCTGCTGACTACAATGTAGATGCACTTTTCTACCTCTCCCACTAGCCTGTTAATCCGCATGGAAAACCATCTGTTTGCACAGTGTTTGGTGCTGTAAGAAAGTGAATTTACAGCAAAGCCACTATGACCCACCTTTAACTACACACATAACTCTCGTGCTGTGTGGACTTGGGCTCAAATGTTAAGAGGCTTGGAAATGTGCACAGCTTTACTTCTTTTTAATATATATATATATATATATATATATATATATATATATTATTGATTTTTTTTTACAGAGAGGAAGAGAGAGGGATAGAGAGCTAGAAACACCGATGAGAGAGAATCATTGATCAGCTGCCTCCTACACACCCCCCACTGGGGATGCACCCGCAACCAAGGCACATGCCCTTAACTAGTATTGAGCCTGGAACCCCTCACTCCACAGGCCGATGCTCTATCCACTGAGCCAAACCGGTTTCGGCACAACTTTCCTTCTTTTACGTGACCGCAGGACTGGATGGCCCCTGAGTTTGGGGGAAGTCGGTTAGGGGAGAGGGGAAGAAGCCACGGGCTGGGAGACCCAACTGAAGGACCAGAGGAAGAAGAGAATGTGGACACAGGAGTCTCTGAGTCTGAGAGGCCTGGGAATGATGGAGACAGGGCTGCACTTTTCTGTTCAGAGAGAGAGCAAATGCCCTGGAAGCGCCAGGTCCCAGGACCTGGGTGGGAAAATGCCCTCTTTGGCCCGTGGAGGTTTCTGATTGTAGACTTTGGCAGATACACCTAAGCCAATCCAGGCTTTTCAACTCTATTCCATTTAGTGGACATATACACTGAGTGGCCAGATTATTATGATCTCTGAACACATAATAATCTGGCCATTCATTATGTGTGTGTGTGTGTGTAATATATATATATGTGTGTGTGTGTATGTGTGTGTGTGTGTGTGTGTGTGTGTGTGTGTGTATATGGGTGGACATGGGTGGTTGGCTGGCCTGCCTGCTGGTCGAACTCCTGGTGGAAGGACAATTTGCATGTTAGCTTTTTATTATATAGGACATACACTGAGTGGCCAGATTATTATGTGTTCAGAGACCATAACAACCTGGCCACGCAGTGTACCTGACTGATATCATGTCAGCTAAGAGCTAAGGGAGGAGGTAGTGGGAAGAGCTGTCATGCAGCCAAAGTCTCACCCTGCTTACCTTCCACCATACTAAACACACTGGTGATGTGCAAGGGTCAGATGGAGCGGGCACCTCATGGATACCTGCAGCAGTGCTGACCCTCTCCTTTTCTCCTCTTACATTTTCAGTGGAAAACAATCCAGAAAATGCACAGCTCCCAATTATGTAGTGTATTACGTGATGTGACTGCAATGGAATCATCTTGCTAAATATATTTTTTATTTAATCTTCAAATTAAAATTTACTACCAGAGCATACCTTTCTTGTTGAGGGAGATTAGACATGAACAGGATTTAAAATCTCAGGATTTTAAAGGTTGCCTTACTCTCCCCCCAACCCACACCCCCCTAACACACACACACACACACACACACACACACACACACACACACAGAAGTGAGTTAGCTGTGATCCCTGGAGATGAGGAGGAAATCTGTTTGTGATCTCTGGGCTGAATGATCACCGCTTACAAATGTTAGGAGTAGTGAGACTCTTGCCCATTCTTTCCACCTCTCTTACTGTGTAAGTAAAGGTATGGGCTGTGCAGTGGATAAGGATGAGAATGAGTGTGTTGGACTAACAACTACACTTGATTGACAGTCTCACCCAGTAGCCATATCACCTTGGAGACCTGTGTGGATTTCCTCCCTTCAAAAATGAACCAGCGGGGAACTAAGCACAGAGGCCAACTGTCAGTATTAAAGTAACATGTGCCTGGGAGGAGAGCTCTTCCCTTTATACTTGAGAATGGGAGAGGGAACAGGTGGGAGTGGCAAAGGATACTGTCCTTTAAATGCCTTTATTCTCCTCCAGAGGCCCAGAGCACGAATTCCTGCACCAGTGGGTCCCTCCGCCTGGCCTGCGGGTTAGGGCCAAAACCAGCGCTCTGACATCTTCCAAGGGATCCTGGATTGTGAAAGGGCGCAAGCCAGGCCAAGGGACCCCACAGATGTTTTATCAGGGCCAAGGAAGGATTGTGGAAGGTTCTGGTGTATGTCTGGCCTGTCTTGCTCAGTCCTGATTGGCCAAACCTCAGCAGCAAGCTAGGGTGGAGCGTCTGCCCCCCTACCCTCCATGTGAGTGCATGTCATAGTGAGTGTTTGAGTGGCCTTAGCATATCATTACCATATTACATTTTGATTGGTTGAACAGCTGGCAGATCGACCAGACACTTTAGCATATTTGGCTTTTATTATATAGGATGTATCAATGCCAGAACAGATAGACACTGTGGCTTATTCCTGGCCAAGAACTCTAGGCCTTTATTTTACCTTAAGGATCATATAGACATGTATTTTTCCTGCTCTATTTCAAAGATAGTTGTTAATGACTTTGAAGTATGGTTTTCTACTTTCATGTTATTCAAGATCTTAAAATTCCCCCAAACTTATGTTAAAGGATGAGGCATTAAGAAAATAAAAAGGTATCATAAGTGAATTTTTAGGAGATTCTATTTTATTAAACTCCATTGCTATTTTCAATAAAACCCTTAACATTTCTCTTCCTGTCTTGGAATTCATAGCACTTTATTTGGATAAAATTGAGCCCAACTGGCATGGCTCAGTGATTGAGCGTTGGCTTATGAACTCGGATTCTCAGTCAGAGCACATGCCCAGGTATAGGCTCGATCCCCAGTTTGTAGTGTGCCAGAGGCAGCTGATCAATGATTCTCTCTCATCATTGATATTTTTGTCTCTCTTTCCCTCTCCCTCCCTCTCTGAAATCAATAATACATATTTTTAATTGAAATTTAGCTCTTTTTTTTGTTAGTGTTAATCCTCACCCAAGGATATATTTCCATTGATTTTTAGAGAGAGTGGAAGAGAGAGGGAGAGAGGGAGAAGGAAAGGGAGAGGGAGAGGGAGAGAGGGAGAGAGGGAGAGAGGGAGAGAGGGAGAGGGAGAGGGAGAGGGAGAGGGAGAGGGAGAGGGAGAGGAGAGAGAGAGAGAGAGAGAGAGAGAGAGAGAGAGAGAGAGAGAGAGAAACATCGAAGTGAGAGAGACACATCGATTAATTGCCTCCTCATGCCATGACCAGGTTCAGGGCTTGAGCCTACAACCCAGGTATGTGCCCTTGACTGGAATCAAACCTGAAATTCTTCAGTCCCTGGGGCAACGTTCTATCCGCTGAGCCAAACTGACTAGGGCTAAACTTGAAATTTTTAAAAAAAATGCTGGTGTGTAGACACCAGCAGATTTCTTTGCTAAATCCTCTTTATAACTTGAGGACTATAAGCCTACAGTGACTGACGGAGCAATCTGCTTATGTCTAAGATTGTATCATAAGTTTTCCTAGTTGACGGAACCCTCAGAATGGGGCAGTCTAGAGAGAATATTCCTAATAAAAACCAAGTGCAGTCTGAAAATAAAGTTACTCTCAAGAGTTCTGGGTAACCCAGCATTCCTCCTCCTAAATCCTCATTTTCAGTGGAATTTGTATCCTTAAGATGACATTATTTTTAAGGTGTCGCTAATTGAAAACCATCTGGCCGGACTGGAAGGAAGGACGCTGGCAGACATGTTCGACTTCCTGTCCAAAGAGCTGGTGAGGCTCCAGGAAGAGAGGAGGATCCACGCCTTTGCCATGCTGGCCGAGCGGCAGCGCAGGATGCGGGAGGCCGAGGAGAGTGGCCGGCGCCAGGTGGAACAGAGGCGCCTGCGGGAGGAGGACGAGATATTTAAGGAGGCAAGTGAGGGCAGCGGGACATCTGGAAGCTGTTGGTAAGGAGCAGAGTCAAACCGAAGGAAACTTAAGAAATGAAATGGCTTTTGTTTTGTAATTTTCATTGTATTCAACAAGTGTATATTGAGGTCCTGCACAGACACACATTTAGCCACCCATTTCCTCATTCACTCACGCATATACAAGCACAATGTGTCCAGAACCTTACACGTCTATAAAGATATACAGAAACACACAAGTATATTTATTACTACAGGTGGAACACAGTAAACTTCCCAACCCTGGACTATCAAAAGACTCAGCTAATTGTTCCATAGGTCCAACTTGATTCCCAGGAAGACTCTGGGCTCCCTAGAACAGGCCTGCTGTACATCCCGTGGTGCCTCCCATCCCACCAGCATAGATCACGGTGTACAGTAGACATCGAGCAAATCTATTTTGACTTGAGGCCCGATGCACGAAATTCATGCAAGAGTAGGTCTTCCTTCCCCCAGCTGCCGGCACCAGCTTTCCTCTGGCACCTGGGACCCGGGCTCCCCTCGCAGGCCAGGCTTCATCCAGAAGGTCCTCTGGAAGGATGTCTGGTCTAATTAGCATATTACACCTTTATTATTATTGGTTGGTTGCTTGGTTGACACTGAATTAAGCTGGTCATTTGGGGTGTTTCAGGGAAGACACAGGGATTCAGTTATGGATTTGGTGTTTTACAGGTAGTTACAGTGCCAGTCAAGAAACAGGTGCTGAGTTATTACTGAGTCCCAAGATACACAGAAATATCCAGACATGAAATTAAAAAAAAGTGCCCTTCTCCAAAGAAGCTGAAAATCTGTTGAGATAGAATGTGTACAAAACTAAGGATGCTGCACGTGATGCTTCCTGTGTATCTACCTGTGAAATAGGCAAAACCAAACTATTACTGTGGTTCCTACTTAGGGAGCAAAACTGTAAGAAAAGCAAAATGTTTGCTGTAAAATGGTGAGGGGGAAGGGGACTGTGGTCAGGAAGAACCCACTGCGGTCTCCTGGGATACTGGCAGTGGCTGATGGGTGCTGGCTTTCCTCTGATGCATTACATGTACATTCATTCACACTTGTCTGCATGTGTGTTCTGTTTCACAGTTTGAAGAAAGCTTTCGAAAGAAGCAATGTAGACGAATAAGATGGTTCAGAGAGTTCATCAAAGATCCAGGATCCCTCTAGCTTTCTGCTTTTCTGTCCTTAAGGCCTGGCCCTCATGGTGGTTTAAGATGACTTCTGGTGCTCCACATCATGTCCCCATGAAATGAGGAAGGAAAAAAGGGGGGGGGGGAAATAAAGCTAGGTCTTTCCTTTTAACAGTCCATTCTGGAAAGTGCCTGCATCACTTATGCAGGCATTCCCTTGGTTAGAAGTATGGGTGCTAGGAAGTGCGGTCTGTTCTAGGGACCTATTGGCTCAGCTAAGATCCAGAGATTCTATTATTGAAGAGGAAGGACATTGGGAAATACCTTAGTTTCTACCACAGTTAGGTAGTGTGAGAAGAAGACATACTGGATGTAGGAACATAGCCGGGATCCAGGATTTTCTTGCTATGTGTAGTGTCCACCCCCGAGGAAAATCCACAATTCTAAAATGGGTTAGAAAGGGTAGAAAGGTGGGTTAGAAACAGTCGGTCTAGAAAAAAGTAGAAAAAAGGAACAATCAATGAAGGGACTTAACGAACCTCAGTAAATGAGCTAAAAAAAAAAGTTACCAATGTTCATTTTTCTTGTCTTGTTTACATTAGTATTCCTGTTCTCAGTCACTATGGGCATTTGGTGTTTTTTTTTTTCAGGTGGTTAAAGTTCACCAGAGTACTATATCTTCATATCTGGAAGACATAATTCTGAACACTGAAGCAAATACTGCAGAAGAACAAGCCAGGGCGGAAATCGAGAAGATGGCTCAGGAAATCAATGACATTGCTTATGAAATGGAAAACCGGTATGTGCCAAGAGAGTGGATGGCAGCATAGAGAGCCCACTTGCTGGTACTTACATGTACTTTTCAGGAGCTTAAGAGTTCACCACCAAGGAAACACAAGTATATAGCTCATGCTTCAGTGCCCATTGTTTTATTATTATTAGCATAACACTTTAGAAGCTAGGCATGGTGGGAGCCCTGGGAACAGAAGTCTCTGCAGTCTGGGTCCCTTTTACATTACTTGCTTTAGAATACCTCAAAGCATGGAAGACATGTGAGTAAGTACATGCACCATTACTTGGACTCCGCCCCGAGGTGTGTGGCTCCCAGGTATAAGCTGTATTTCTAACATTCCCTTCCTGGCTGGCAGGGTACCTGAAGGGCAGGGCCAATCTGCCGTTTCCACGGGGTTAACCAAGCTCACCAGGAATGTGATATTTCAGATCACTTAACCAAGGGAAAGGTGATGGTGGAGTTCCTTCACCAGTCAGGAGGATCCAAGGACAGCCACAAGGAAAGTTTAATTTGTTTATTTTTCAGTCGAACTCAGCTTCAGTCAGAGGAGATTGTTGCCGAGTTGGTTTATAGTTTTCTGATCCCAGAGGTGCAAAAGGACTTTGTCAAAGAAAAAGGTAAGCCCGTGCAAATGCCTCCCTTTGTGATTTTTTAAAAAGATAAACTCTTTCAATATCCTAAAGTTTTAAAACTGAGCAGCAGTATGGGGAAATTTCTGAAGGAGAATCACTGAGCTTTCTTATTTCAGAGCTCGTCCAGCTCTCTTCCTGCTTATTCCAGATATACGCACCTCTAGTTAGATGGGCAACGTTCTTATAAGTGTGGCTGAGCATCAAGATTGGTCCACCCTCCTTTGAGAGGGAATTCCCAAGTTCCAGAAGAGGTGTATTTTGTGATTTGAATTTTTAAAAACATAAAGTAAATGTTGCAAATATGTGGGATTTTCTAAATGAAGCAGCCTGTGGAGGCAGGGCACATGCAAAGTGGCTGTTGAAAGCCGGGGTGGGGATTGGGGGGGGGGGGAGGATAAAGGGTCTGACACTGCTCTGCTGCTCTCCTGTGTCACGGATGCTTCCTGTGGCTGCAGGTCCGTATGGCAGAATAAATACCCTCAGATGTCACGTGCCAACAGCGGGTGTTTTGGAAGAGTGATGCTTTTAGTAAACAGATAAGGAGAAAAAAGGGTGTCTCAAAAAAAAGAATATTCTTTTGGAGCTTTCAGACTATTGGTGACAGACCTGATCCCAGAGGGAGGGGTGCAGCCAGAGGTCAATACTTAAAGTGAAATAACATCTGAGTAGGTGTCAGAGTTATTAAGGGGGATCCTGGACAAGTTTAAGAGAAGTGTAGTATTTTAGGTCATTTAACCAGGATAAAGGAATGGTGGTGATGGGGGGGGGGGGGCTCCTGAATTTGAAGAGAACAAAGAAATACCTTATTTGCCCATTATATGATTGCACTATAATTTTTTAAACCAGTACCTTCTTCGATAAGCATTTAGCTCCTTTCCAGTGTGTTTTTCTATAACTAGCAGTGCTGCAGTCAGTATATTTTACATATGTCCTGGTTATGCTGCTGAGAGCAAATTCCTAGCAGTGAATAAGGAATGTGAATTTTACATTTCGATAGGTACTACCAAATTGCCCCACAAAAAGATTCTTCTAACTCATTCTCCCACCAGCAGCATACGGTAGTGCCCATACGAGCAAAATTTAATTTTCAGGTAATAAATAATTCCGTGTTACCTTACTATATAAAAGGGATGCTGTGTTATCTAGATCCTTAAGAAAATATGCAACTCCTTTCTACTTCTCTGAGGTCCCAAGTGAGGTCAGCCTGTGTCAGATAAATCCTACCCCAGGGAATCCAAAGAGAGGGGAAAGCTGTATTTAACAGTTACTTCCTTTTGACTCCTCCTCCAGCTTCTCCTGGCTCTGTGGGAAGGAGCTGGAGGGGGACCTGAGCTGAAGGCATCCAGTGGGACTTGTTTGTAAGCACACTGGACAAGTCCTTAGCTTCTTCACTTTATATATTTTAAAATACATTTTTTTTAATTGATGAGAGAGAGGAAGGGGCAGAGAGAGAGAGACATAGATTTGTTGTACCACTTACTTATGCATTCATGCATTCATTGGTTGCTTTTTGTATGTGCCCTGGAGATTGAACCCACAACCTTGACACATGAGGACGATGCTCTAACCAACTGAGCTCCCAGCCAGGGTGGCCCCCTCCCTTGATATGCATCAAATCAAGAAAACCTTATGGACAGGGGGATGCACTAGAACCTTTGTTTCTCTTTTCAAATAAGGGAGCCATATGTGTTATATGTACTCTTGATTCCAATTTAAGATATTATATGCAGTCCATTTTGAGATACTTTTCTTTTTTTTTGTTTTTGTTTTAGTTGAGGGATGGGAAATACCTGAAGAGACCTGTATATAGGTGTAAAATAACAGTAACTACCAAATTTTAAATGCTGCTAAGTTCTAGACAAGGTACTAAGCATGTTTAAAAGTACCTGATCTAAATTTCTTACAACAGCTGTAGGTGTGTTCTCATTATTCAGTTAAGGAACTTAGTGCTTAGACACATTATAGAACTTGCAGATTTGAACCATGATCTATGTGGCTCCAAAGTCCCCACACTTTGGGGCATGTTACTGTGAAGTGCTACAGGTTGCTGTGTGGCCTACCCTGTATAAATTGAAGAGCATAGAATCCACAGTACTCCTTACTGCCCTTTGCTGGCTATATGACTTTGGCATATTATAATACTTAATCTTTCTGTGTCTCAGTTTCTTCATCTGAAAATGGGGATATTAATAAAACTCCCTTTTAGGGTTGTGAGGTTTAAATGAATAATTATATGTCAACTGCTTAAAACAGTGCCTGGCATAAAATAAGGACAAATGCTAAATGCTAACATCATCATCATCATGATTACTCCTTTGCAAGGGGAATGGAATGCTTAATGTACTAAGCTTTGATGACAAACATTCTTAAGTGTGTGGTGCTAGGACCACCTTCTAATGCCATGAGCTTCCATATTAAAAACTGAGGCTCATGTCTTTTGTGTGAAGTGTATCATTGGGCATGTGGAGGTATTATTGATATGAGAAAATGCTAAGTAACTGATTTACTATCTGAAAAGGGATTTACTATGGGGGAAATTGAGGGAAGAAGAGACTGAACATAAACTGCACCTATGGATGAGGACAATGGGGGGTGGGGGGGGGGGACAGAGGGTGGGGTGGGAACCTGGTGGAGGGGGGAAGAAATGAGGAACCTTTGTAATAATATGAACAATAAAGATTGCTAAAAAAAAAAAAAAAAAAAAAAAAAAAAAATAGGAAAAAAAAAAAAAAAAAAAAAAAAACAAAAAAAAACTGAGGCTCAAAGGGAAGTATGGGGCACCTTACCTTTAAGTCATTTATGATCTTTGTGTTACAAAATTTACAATTCTGATGCAAAATTATCATTTCTATCACAACTGTCTTGAAAACATGTGAGAATGAATTAGCTCAGACTTTCAGAGTAAAACTTCTTTTGTCACTTGGCACAGTGAGGAACGCACAGCGGAAGCATATTCTTGCAGCCCATCAGATTCTCCACGGGCACACAGGAGACATGCTTGCAAGGGACTTTGCTGAGGAACCACAAGATGAGGACCCAGACATTGACGAGTTCCTTAAGTAAAAAACCCAAAGTGAGAAAGACAGCTAAGGTGAGTTTGATTTTTCCATTTGGAAGGAAATAGAGAGGAGGGAACATAGCATTATCCATATATAATAATAAAAGCATAAAATGAAAATCAGCCAAATGGCAGAACAGCTGAACGACCGTCTGGACAACCACACTATGACACCAGGCCAGCCAAGGAGGGTGCGATGCCACTGGTTGGGGGCCCCTCCATTGCCCCATGATCTCCTCTTGGAGCTCCATGACCCATTGCCCCCCAGAGGGAGGCCCAGGCTACCGGGCTCGCGGCGCTGTGGTGGGTGAGTGGGGCCTCCCTCTGTGGGGATTCCCAGACTTTGGGCAGGTACAGGCCGGGCTGAGGGACCTCCCCCATTCCTCACTCCTAGTGCATGAATTTTGTGCACCAGTCCTCTAATACTCTAATCATCATCATGTGAAAAGATTGCCCATTGTTTAAGAAGATGAAATACTTAAATTAGCATATTTCATCTAAGATATGGAAATGCTATTGAAATGTAAAAGAATATAGTAGATATTAGAGCAGTTGGACTCTTGTGACCAGAAAATGGGACTCTAGATTATTTTTATGATTTCTTTTAGCGTGTGACTGTACTTATCACAAATAAAGCTGGAAAAAAAAAAGCTTGTTTTCATGGAGGTTCCCCTATTGCATTGTGCCAGTTGTAAGCATAGCACGAGGCACAGCCTGCCTGATTCCAGCTCAGATGCCTTCTGCAATGTCCACCAGGGGTTGGGTTTAGGCTCAATTATTGTAAATAGTCACATGCATGGTCTAACATAGACCACGTTTGATAGGATTTGCGTATCAGTATACTCAGCAAGATACAAGGCAGGAACCACAGCATCCAGCAGAGTCTCAGGCAGTTCTCTTCCTGTGGGAGCTCTTGCGTAGCCACACAGAACACAGCCACATTCTTTAGCCCTCAGTTACATAGCTCAGGTACAAGGAAAAGAGATTCACATTGAGTGGGTGCAGGAGTTGTCTGGTTTACGTGCCCCAGGGCCAGTATCGCTTGCAATAATTCCACAGGCAGAGTTTCCAGGGTCCTCAGTGGATTTGCCCAGTTACAAAAGTCAGCACACTCAGGGAAACTCAAAGCTACAGTTTCCTATTCAGTATTAACAATTCACTTACAACCCTTCCCAGTGAGATTCTAGTTACCACTCAGGGTCAGTTTTGCCTCAAGAAGTGTTAGTAACATTCTTGACACGTATCACCTATCAGCTTACTAGGAGAACAGAGCTAAAGAGTCAATTGAAACTAAAATCCTCATAAGAAGGGAAAATGGAGTGAACCCTTTGCCTCTATCTTCTCCCTCACCCTCCATGGCAGAGGCACACCATTTGCTGTTGGGCCTGAGGGTATGCTGTCAGGTTAGGGAAGGAGCCAAAGTTTAGGGGGGAAATTGAGCCTCGCGGTCAGAAGGATTGGGGGTTGGCCATCTCTGCCACCAACTGTAGAATCTTATACGATTAATTTCTTCTCACTTGAGGCATGCTCATGCTCATGTGACCGAGAGACCCTCTCAGGGGAATCTGCTGGGACTTTAAGTCTTAGTAAAAGAGGATCATGGAAAGAGGGTTGAGATGAGAGGGCAGTGAAGAAAGAAAGCAGAAGAAAAACTGATAAAGGACTCTTAAATATCAGGCTTTGGATATCATTACAGCAGAAAAGCTTTTTTATTTTTAATATACTTTTATTGATTTCAGAGAGGAAGGGAGAGATAGAAACATCAATGATGAGAGGGAATCATTGATTGGCTGACTCCTGCACACCTCCCACTGGGAATCGAGCCCACAACCCAGGCATGAGCCCTGACCAGGATTCAAACAATAACTCGCTGGTTTACAGGTTAATGCTCAAATACCGAGTCACACAAGTCAGACAGTAAAGCTTTTTTTTTTTTAAATTAATAATGAAATAACTTCTGAAATCATTGAAGATATAATCCATATATCTGTATGCATGTTATATGCTATCTGCATAATATAAATTCAAGGACCAAAGCATTTTGACTATTATTATTGTGATAAAAGTCAACCTTGTTGTTGGGATAGTCATTTTTCTTAAATGTAATGAGATTAATAACTTACATAGTTGAATTGAATACATCCGAATTTACTTCTTAGCATAACACACCTGTTCTATGGCATCCATGGTGATCTGTGAAATCAACCCACAGGAGTGTTAAAATGATTTTTTCCTTTATGCTTACTGAAACTAAGATACATTTTATTAAAAACACATTATAGTTATAAAATACAGTTAAAAACATAGTCACCAAGCTAAATAAATACACTCAGCAAGAAAGAGCAACCAATAAATGAATAAAGTATCTTAACCCTCGATTGAATGTTTGGAACATGATGCCTAATGGCCCCCATTGTATATATTTCTCCTTCCTTCTCTCAGAGGGAAGATGGGGAGGACAGCTGTGAGATTTTAATAATGCTGAGAGAAAGGGGCAGTAGGCATGGACCACTGATTAACATTTTTTAAATTGGCTTGAAGACAATAAAGAGCTAATAAAGTAGTGAGGAATTTCTGGGCAGAAATTTAGGAGAAGACAAATTCAGAGCATTGGCGCTGGCCTTTGGAGTCACTTTTTTTTTTTTTTTTTTTTTTTAACCAGAAGGATTATGCAACTTCTTAAAAAAAAAAATGTGGCTGAAAGGCTTAACAGTGCTTTTACCAACTTTGTCAAACTAGGGGACAAAAACTGGAGTCAACATTGTGGCTCTGGTGACTCCTCATCTGGGCTGGGACTCGGAAAGGCTGTGCCATGGTAAAAAGGTTGCTTGGGTGTAGAACAAGCATGTCAGACTTGCAACCCGCTGGCCGAATGCGGCCCACAACAAATATTTTTGCGGCCCAGCCAATTTTACAGTATGTAAAAAACGTTTTAATAAACATTTCATAACTTAATTTTTACAATATCCTGTTATACGTAATTATTAGTAATGAAATACAACTTTCCCTAAGGACTGATTACTATAATCCTGTTGCATTCATTTCCCTTTCACACCTTACATGCAGGTGCACCATATCTCTCCACTAATACTAGCAGCGCATTATTTAGCAGCCGATTGCCTCGTCATTAGTCTTGTACTGACGTGTTTGGTGTGCAAAACAGGAAATATTTTGCTTTTGTAGAACAAGAAAAATAGGTTTATTTGGGTTACACTTATTGTGCAGTTATTCAGTGTCTGATAAGTTAATGTTCAAGAAAAAATATTAATTTTTATTAAAATGTTCTATTATCTTATGTTAACAATTATTCATTTATTTCAGCCCTTTGTATTCAGCATGTCCCTATCAAAATAAATTTACGTTTCTATGAAAATTTAAGCTTTTGGGTGTTTTTTTCCCCCCACATAAACTTAAACCTTGTTTATTTGGCCCGTGTTAGCCTTTGAGTTTGACATGCTTGCTGTAAACTCTTCCTCTCACAGACTACAGTTCAGCTCCTAATCATTTGAATGATCCAAAAAATATCTCAATCCCAGAAATTAAATTAAAGAGATTTTAAAATAATTATGCATAATGCTTTGGATTTCTAGCCTCCAGAATTGTGAGAAAATAAATTTCTGTTGTTTAAGCTTCTCAGTCTCTGGTGTTTTGTTATGGCAACCTACTCTGAGGCAGATTTTGATCTCAGGAGTGATCGCATGTTAAGTTAAATACTTAACATGCGGCTTTGGAACTAGATAGAGGGGCAGTGGCCGGAAGAGTTGCAAGGTGCATGCTGGAGATACTCATGGCGATTCCGGTAAACTTTCAGACAGAAGTGAGAAATGTGTTACTGGAAAGCAGAGGAAAGACAATCCATGTTATAAAGTAGAGAAGAAATTAGCTCAACTTTGTTCTGTTTTATGGAAGGTAGGACTTGCAAGCAATGAAATTGGATGACTAGCTGAGAAGATTTCCAAACAAAACGTTTAAGGAGTTGGTCTCTTCTGGCTGCTTATAGTAAAATGTGAAGGAAGAGAGATGAAGAAGGAATTGCTAAGCAAAAAGGAGCAAGAACTTGAAAGTTCAGAAGATTCTTACCCTATCGGTATAGCAAAACATAAGAAAGTATATTCTGAAAAGAACACTCAGGATGTAGCTGAACAGCTATTTGATAGAGAGCTTATGGGAACTGAAAGCACTGGAGATGGTAAGAAATGAAGGAAGGCTGTCATGCTTTTGGATTTGACCAGATGAGACAATACAGTTATTATGCTCCAAATGTGCACAATTCTTCAAGAGACAAATATATCCTGGAAGGAGATTTAAAATTAGGACCACTGGCTCAGTTTCAACAGGTCAGATGACCTCTGCCCAGAACCTTAAGATGGGACCACCATAGGACCTTACCCAAGGATGCACTGAGAGCCGTGGGGATGGCACACCGTAGAGATGAAGGGGTGGGGTACTTGGGCCATGCTAGTGACCTGGAAGCTAGGACATGAGCTAAAAGATTAGTCTCAAGCTTTAAGCTCCAGTAGAATTTGTGTGGCTAAGCTTTGAACTTGCATGGGACCCATTCCTTTTTTCTTCCTTCCCACTTCTCCCTTTTTGGAGTGAGAATATCTATCCTGTGCCTGACCCACCATTATATTTTGAAGCACATAACTTGTCTCATTCACAGTTGGAGAAGATTGTTGCCTCAAGATGAGTAAAACCTTGAGACATGTAAATTAGATGATATTGAAATTAGATATTGGACCTCAGAATTTAGAATCGATGTGCAGATGAGTTAAGACCTTGGACCTGTGGGGATGGAATGAATTCATTTTGTATGTTAAAGACGTGAATTTGGGGGATGGGTGTGGAAAGCTCTGCACTGAATTGGGTCATCCCCAGATTCATTTGCTGAAGCCCTAACTCCAAGATACTGACGTTTGTAAAAGAGGCGTGTGATAATGAGATAATTAGGATTAGATGAGATCATGAGGGTGAACCCCTGGTGATGGGAACAGTGTCTTTATTA